ATAATAATAATAATAATAACAATAATAATAATAATAATAATAATAATAATAATAATAATAATCACTCTATTTAAGTGTCGGTGTATTTAGCACTAATGTGCTAATTGGGGATACTGTAAATAAGTAAACAAATATTTCAAATATGTCTTATGAACGTCGTCTATCGTGCTCCCTATCACTTCTCGCCTCGATATTCTCGCACGTGGAAGACAAAACTGAATTTTTGGGGGTTGTAGTAGGACCCTGGGGGTACTCCGATATAAATTTGACGGGGTTGCTCGTCGTACAGCCTTAAAAGGTCCTCAACGGCAGCTTTTGCGGTAGCTTTTAGGGTATAGAGCCGAAGTTAATACGTAGTTTTAGAATTGGTACCTTTTAGGGGTGGAAGAAATTTCAAGCCACGCCCACAAACATTATCTTGGTTCATCTTAGGGGTTCATTTCGAAATTTCCGACGAGCACCCCCGTAAGAAGGGTACGAGTTGTACGTTCTTTAATCAAGCTAAAACAAAGAAAATCACAACCGTGAAGGAGGTTTGGACACACGGTGTTAATTAGCATAGATTTTGACGATTTTACTTCTCCGTTTACTCCTTAGTTTTGGTTTCGATTGAGAAGATATATCAAAAACTCGACAGTGTTTCATCGGCTATCCAAACACCACGAATCTCGTCAAAAATACTACGTTTCGCGTCGTATTTTCAACTCTCTTCTCGGTGTTTGGATATCCCGGTGAAACAGTCTCTCGCGTTTGATTAGATAACTGCATAAATTCTCGCGCGCTCATTGGCTAATTTTCGTCGTCAATAGGCGGACAGGCATGCAAATTTATAATTTATGCGATGCGTCAAGGAGTGAGAGCATAATCGTAAAAAACAAACTGATGTCAGCTTTTCATACGTCTGTCCTGTTCTTGAGAACGAAATTCATCATAACATTGTCAAAGTAGTCTGCAGATCCACAGCTACTTCGACAATGTTATGACGAAATTCATGATCAATAACAGGTATTGCTGAATAGGTTGTGGTATCGCTGGGTGGGGGGTACTCCCTTATATGGGCTATATAGCTATGTGCAGCCCCAAAGGCTCTGGTTTCCTAGCCGTTTCGGTCAGAAATTGTACGGATTTTGGCCGTGCGTACATGTTGGTCTCAAATAGGGTACGGTTTTTGCACTTGAGTCTTCAATTGGGTATGATTTTTTAGAGAAGCTACTTTTTCATCATTATGGATATTAAAGGCAATTGAAGGGGTGCATGGAATAAAGCCCTAAGTGACTTTTGAGGCAAATTTTGAGGCAGCCAGGATTGAAATACCTTAAGCAGCAATTTTCACAGTTTACTCTGATTTTAGTTATTGTCTTTAAAGAACTAATAATAATTACTTGTAATTATTACTATTAGTACTATTATTACTACTAGTTCTTTTTGGCCAATAATGAAGACAAGAATAAATTGTTGTACTTGTTGGGGGGTACTTCAAAGTTGGTCAAACCAACCTTTTCCAAGTCACTTAGGGCTTTATTCCACTACCCCTGAGCCCCTCACAATGCCTACAACATTAGTTTGAACTACAAGGCGGGTCTGAAACAGGGTATGTATTGATTTAAGGGTCAGGTATTAAAGAGGGTAGGGAAAATTGCAGGTTTTGGTCTTAAATAGAGTAAGGTTTTTCAGAAGTGGGACGCACACCCCCACCTAATTTTTCTGGCAGCAACCCCCCTCGGGGTGTTGTAGCTTGTAGACTGTCCTATTGAGGGCCCCAAGCTCTGATAAAAGCAAAGCAAACAAATAAGGTTTTGAGCAAAATTCCTGAGACATTTTTTCTTGTGCGTTCAGGAAAAAAACCATAAGAGAATGCAAAAATATATTTACTTCACTGTATCACATTATACTCAGTGATAAATAGCTTCTAAAGAAATCAAAATAACCCTCTTTTTGATGACATAGAAAATTAAAATTTTCAGTAATGTCAATGTAGTGAGATCAATTATGTGGTTCTCTGGTGTTTTTCTCACTTTTTTTTGGTTAGTAAATTACGTTTAATAATTGTACTACTCCTTGCTAACCTCAGTTTCAAATGGCATGTAAGCTTTGCTTGCAAGTCTTATAACCTTGGAGTATGAATGAACAAGCAGCCAATTTTATTGTCTTAATGTAATTCAGGCACGGTAAATTTTATGGAAACAAGAATAAATTTGTCTTAAAAATTATGACTGCTTGTCAGAGCCCTCAATTCGTTTGGCAAGCTAAGGCATTTGAACTGCTGATTAAAAGTTTTGAGGCTCCTTTTTAGTGAGATTTACACCTGGGTCTACCACAGCATTACACCTGTATGGTCATTGTGCATTGTGCTTTCTGAAGAGTCTGACGGTTTGTAATTCTGCATCTTCTTTTTGTTGCAGATGAGGATTAGAAGCAATGCTGCTGCTGTATATTCTGTTGCAGCAGCCATGATAAAAGATGGAACATATGTATGGAGACGATCTGTTATAAAACCTAC